AACATGCTACTAGCATCTATTCCTACTGAATCCAAAGATCCTACTGATCTTTGTGGTGCATTCCTTAGTATTCCAGTTGATAAGGCTAGCCAATATCTTTCTGCCTTAACTTGGGAAAGAAAACAATATATTTGAAAGTAATGCCTCAGGGTTTTACTAAGAGTCTTACTTCTTCCAAACCTTTAAAGCTGACTCAGATGATATAAAGTTTTCTGGAGGCCCTACCTTGCTTGTTACAATATGTAGATGACTTGCTTCTCTCCTCCCTTTCCCAAGCCTCTTCACAGGAGGACAGCATGTAGCTGTTAAAACTTTTAGCCTTAAAGGGACATAAAGTTTCCAAGGACAAAACTGCAGTTTGCTCAAACTCAGGTTCTATATTTAAGGCACCTGATCTTGGAATGGGGGTTGGTTTGTTCATTCATTCACTCATTCATACATTTACTTATTAAGTATGCTCCACGCCTAGCATGTAGCCCAATGCGGGGCTTGTACCCACAACCCCAAGATCCAGACCTGAGCCAAGATCAAGAGTTGCTCAACCAACTAAGCCACCCAGGTGCCCCAGAACAGGGGTTCATTTAGACATAGTTAGGCTTTGTGGTATCCTGAACTTCCCCAAACCTAAAACTAAGTGCCAATCACAAGGTTTTCTTAGGGTAGGGGACTACTGTCAAAACTTGGACTCCAAACTTCTCTCTTATCGCCCAACCCTTGTATGTTTTACCTAAACACAACAAACTGGACCCTATTATTTCGGAAGATCGGAATGACATAGCCTTCGGGGCCTTAAAGAACATCTTAATAAGGCTTCCTTCCTTTGGACATACTAATTATCCGCTCCTCAATACCCTTTTTGTATATGAGAGGAAGGCTACGCCCTTGGAGAACTCACCCCAAAATCAGGAAACTGTTATCGACCCACAGGATATTATAGCCAACAACTGTACCCTGTGGCCCGAGGATAGCCCCCTTGCCTCAGAGCCATTCCTGCCACTGCCCTTTTGGATAAGGCCACTGAAGAAATAATCATGGGATCCCCTTGAACCATCCTTGTGCCCCATGCAGTAGAAGCTCCTCTGAATTCCCGTCACACTCAACACCTGTTGGCCAGTCATCTTACCTCCTCTGAAATCCTCCTGTTAGTTGCTCCTCATATAACTCTTCCTCACTGTAATAACCTTGACCCTGCTATTCTCTCTTTCACCACTCTGATAAACCCCTCACCACTGCTTGATGCTGACAGATCACCTTCTGACTGCCCATGACAATTTACAGATAACTCTAACCAATGCAGATTTGTCATAGCTTACTGATGGGTCTTACTTAAAGGACAAAAACGGTACTGTCTTGGCTATGCTACTGCAAATTCCTTTTGAAATCATCCAGGCAGAACTTCTACCTTTGGCTACTTTGACCCATCAGGCTGAATTATATGCTCGTGCTCGGGCTGGTACCTTTGCCAAGGGTAAAACTGCAAACATCTATACTGACAGTCGGTATGCCCTTTGGTCAGCTCATGACTTTGGGATGTTATAGAAACAGCAAGGTTTCCTTACTTCTAATGGGAATAAAATTACAAATGGTTCTTATGTCCAAAATTCATTAGATGTCAAACTTTTGCCAACTGCCCTGGCTATTATTAAGACCCCTATGCATTCCAGACTTGACTCCCTGGAGGCCAAAGGAAACTACCTTGTTGATGTTTCCATTAAAAACACTGCTCTTAAAGGAACCAATAGCCAAACCTCTGTCATGGTCCAAAAGAATGTTGCCTCAAATGATAACCTAGAAAAACTGACAAGAGATGTCCAACAATTGGCCCCAGAGAGAGAAAAACAATATTGGAAATCAAATAATTGTTGGTTTGATTAAAAAGAACTCTAGCTTGAGAGAAATAACAATCCAGTCCTGCCAGAGTCTCGAAAATCTCATTACTAACCACTGCACATGCATTAATTATGGCTCTACCGATAAGATGATAGCTTTAATGAATCAATTCCGGTAGAGAAATATTAAGAAGCCCACAAAAGTGCCTACTTTGCTTGCCCCACCTGTCCAAAATACAATTTGGGAAACCCATCCACACCACACCCTGGCATCTTAAATTGCCCAAGGGATCATTCAAAGTTTGGCAAATGGATTTTATTCCACTCCCCCTGTCTTGTGGATATATGTTTTGGTCATGGTTTCTTTTCTCACTGATCTGAAGCTTTTCCTTGCAGATGGGGTATGGCCTTTTCTGTAGCTAAAATCCTATTAGAAAAGATTACTCCTACCTGAGGAAGCCCTCTCGAGCGTCCCAGTGATCAGGGAATGGTCAAGTTCATCAATAAGGTCTATGCTGTTTGGCCGGTTCTACAGCACCATCACTGTGCTTACCACCTTCAATCCTCAGGGCGAGTCACACTAACAGCACCATTAAGACTCAATTGGCAAAACTTGTGGAGACTCTTCGAGTAACCTGGCCAAAAGCACTGCAATTGGGTCCTGCTAGTATATGTGCTGCTGAAGCGAGCACACGATTGGGTCTTTCTAAATCTGAGATCCACCACCCGCTTTGTAACTCATTAACTCTCACATGCTTTGAGGCAGTCACAGGGCGCCTGATGCACAGGGCTCCTGCCTCGTCTAATCCACTGCTGATAAAAGGAGATCTACTCGGATATTGTAAAGGCCTCATTGCTTCTGTTGAAATTAACCATGCTTTAGTAGAACTATCTTCACAGCACACTCCCGGGAGACAAAGGCCGTAAACATCACATCTTGCAACCCAGAGATTTTGTCTACTACAAAAGACACCTCAAAAAGTTCTCTCTTCACTCTTGTTGGAGGGGCCCTACCAGGTACTGTTTACCAACGCTTGTGCCACCAAATTTCAAGAAACACACTCCTGGATTCACGTGTCACATCTAAAGACCTGCACACCAACTGGTGACCTGAAAGTAGTTTCCAGGAATTAAAGCAGGCATCTGATAAAGATCACTTTCCCAAAATGACTGGATCAGGCTTATTCTTTGTCTCTCTTCCATGACAGATAATGCTCTTACCCGCATTTCCCAACTGCTGCAAAAGGGGGAACCTCTCTGATTGTGGGATTTGTCACCAGAAACCTCAATCTGTCCAGAGCAACAGGGATCCCTTAGTTCACCCTACAAGTAATTTTGCTGGAAGTCCAATTGCCGCTGCATGCCCAAACTGTTGCCCAGGCCTGTTTATAAAGTTAGAATATTAAATCCACACATACTTGTTCCCTGCCTCAATTCAACCCAACTCTAGGTGGGAGAAATGAGACCTCTTGAATGCATATGTAAAACACACTGTGGAACAGCCAATGTAAGTTGGACCATTTGTAAGCTGGCTGTCATACTCATATATTTAGAAGACTTTCAATAAGTGGTAACATGGTATTTGAGTCTTGGCTGAATAATGCCAATGCCTCTATACTGACAAATGTGTCCATAAATGCTAATGCTTATGAGGGAGCCCTATGTGTAGCTCCTGGCTACTCTTCTGTATGTGGAGGTTTTGGTAATGGCCCCTATGCTTGAGCAGTTCATTGCCTTGATGGCTGAAGGATAAAAGGACAATGTGCTCTTGCTGTGTTCACTGTCCTATTTATGCTTCATAATGAACTAGCAGCTTCCTACCGGTCTATATCACTAAACCTTCATGACCATCTTAAATGAGAACTTCCAGGAGACATACACAACTCCAGGTTTGCCTCCATAGAGAGAGCCTTTCTCCCTTCAGAGTAAGTACTAATAGACACAGAAGTTTTTCCCTAAACTTAGGAGGGCTGGTCAGTTCTACAGCTAAAGCAACACCAGCCCAACAATGATTATTCGGCTCACTGGCTGAAGTAGTTTTGGACACTCACATAGCTCTGCGTTACTTACCTGCTGAGCAAGGAGGCATCTGCGCGGTAGCAGACACCACCTACTGCACATAGATGAACTCTTCTGGAAAAGTAGAAACTCAATTGCACAGAACTAGGGGACAAGCACATAGACTGTAACAAATTTCACATGACTCTCAATGATCTGTTGTTCAGTTGGCTTTCTTCAGGCCTAGGGTCATGGTTTAGAACCATCATACAATTTAGAATTGTCATGCTGCTTTTAGTTACATTTTGTATAATAATTTTTAAGTTTTGCACCTGTTGCTTGTCAAACTTTTATAGAAACCATGGAACCAATAAGGTGATGCTAGCTCAACATTTCAAGATGATCTCCAACACGTACGACCTCAACAAGATACAGACTTTGGAAGGGAAATGCCTGAGAGTTTTCCTTCCTCAGTTTCTGTTACTCAAATATGGTCCAAAATGGGTTCTAACCGCTATACACTTTCTCTCTGACGTGGGATCTGACATCCAGGAAAGCTCCTTCCTGGCAGTGAGACACAGACGACCCAACTCTTGGTCAGCAATGCTTCTGAGGAAAGACTTGGATCAAAAGGGAGAAATGTCAAACTAAATAAAGGAAACTAAATTTAAGATACAAAGAGGAGGCCAGAAGGGGGAGCTCTCATGCCCTATCTATCAACTCATCATCCACTGCAGAACCCAACAGTAAGAAGTGGGACCTTGCATTTTCCAGCAGGGGGAAGAATGAATTTCTCCAAGCCAAGCAACTAGCTCAGCCAGTAAGAAAATACCACAACTCTGCCAATGAGAAACTGTGACCACCCTGAGCTCTCTTTCCTACCATGGACTTTCATTCAAAGAAGCCCCTCCCAACTTTTCTCCTCATTTTCTCTATAAGGTAATGGTTCCTTCCTTTGGTCTCCGGACTTGCCTATGCTTTTGCCACAGCCTGCATGTTCTGAATCGCAGTTCCTCTGTCATTCCCAAATAAACACATTTTGCTGGTAAGATAACTGGCTGCTTTATTTTCAAGGTGGCCAAGCTGATGGCATATTAGAAGGGAAAGAGAGAATTGAAAGATGAATTTCTTGTGACACAAATTTACAATGTAGCTTTTAAAAGATAAACATACCTCTTTCATGAACTGTTCAAACTCTTCATCCAGCTCTTCTTTGGAATAGTGAGCCATAATCAAGAATTTTCACTTCCCAAAGTAAACATCCCAAAGTATTTATAACATTGGAAACACTAAATGACAAGAAATAAATATGCTTTGAGTAAATTCATATCACGTCATAAGAGCATCCAGACTTAAACCTCAGGCATTTCTCTTATGATTTAGTATATATGCACAATGACTGACCAATAACCGTGACAAAAGATTCCGAATTCATGAATAAAACTGCTTTGGAAAACCAGCTTTCACAGTCTGCACTGTACTTAGGGTCCAGAATTACATTTTCATTATTAACATCCAATTGTTGAAGGGTGGCCTCCACGATATTTCCTAAACCTACGGGGTGTATGTTATTTAATATCCCTGAAACAAATCAGGTCCTTTCAAGGAATCTTTCAAAAATTATAGTCCAAAAGGCCATTTCTTTTTTTGCAAAGCACGGGACAGAGTTTGTGCAGCCCTATCATTCGGTTGGTTATCAGTCCATATTAATAGTTTGCAAAATATACTGTTTCCGGATACAGACAAACTGCAATTCACTAAGATTAAAAATATACCTGAAATACAGTTAATGGAGTATACAAATCAGAACGAATTATGTTTCTTTTGGAGCCAGGGAAAGCCAACAAAACTATTCGTAAGTGACTTGTAACGCAAAGCTCTCCCCATCCCTCTAATGAACCCAAACAACTTCAGATCTGTTCCAGCTTCTGGACTATACCTACTTGAGGCTGCTCAAACCGCAGCTTCACTTTCCGGAGGCGGTGGAGGGGGGCTGTGTGTGTGGAGACTCCGCCCGGACAACATTTTTCCCAACCTGCAGAGTAACACCTCCCCGCCTCTTCAGCATTTCTGATCAGTTCAGGGTGTGTGCAGTTAAGGTCTTAGCCCCCAAGATCTTGGTCGGAGACGGATCCCATCAAAAGGGCTCGGCTTGGCGGGGTCCGGGCTCCAGGAAGCGCGGGTTCCAGAGTGGCGGAAGGACAAAGACGCACTTAAACGGAGTGTGGCAGGCGCAGGGAGTGACCCGGGAAACTAAAGCCCTGAGAGCGGGTCTGAGGACAGTTTCGGCCAGGGTCAACCGAGTGGGAAGCCTCACCTACCTCCGCCTCTGAATTCCGCGCTATCCCGAAGGTCTGCGGGAGCCCAACAGTTACCAGGGTAACATACTCCAGCCGCCTGGCTCCCAAGTCACCTGACCCGGACTGGTCACGTGGCTTGTGGAGGCCCCCCCCTTCCCCCCCCGCCCCGCAACGGGACCGTGGTTAGTGTCTTTTTTCCTGTACAAGAAGGTGACGATTGCTGCGGCTCAGAATAATTTGGAGGGTAAGAGCCGTCGCTGCTGCACCAGGAGAGACTCCACAGCTTCCTCTGCGCTCCTTGGAAAAGTGGATTGAGCGAGCGGGACTCGAGAGCCGGAACACAGGCATGCTGGGTGTTGTAGGCCCAGCCCGTGGCTTCCTGGGAAATGTAGTTTAGCTTCCTTAGTCCTTGTATTTCCTCACGTCTTGTCTTTTCTCTTCCTAACTTTCCCCGCCCTTGTGGTTTTGGCTCCGCTTTCCAAGCGGAAATTTTGGAAAAAATTATTTTATTGGCTTCCTCCACGTGCAAACCCCTGAGTAGGCGTTGTGAGAGAAACTCAGATCGGTGAGAAAGAATTCTGTTATGAAGATAGAGGCTCTGTTCCACCATCTAGTGGGCAAAAAATTGAAAATACACATTCACACCCCCAACCTGTTACTCCTCTCAGAGCGTATCTGTGGTTTCCCTCTACACCTCCCTTACTCCCACTCTCTAGTGGCATCTTACAATTATTTTCTTGGATTTTTAATTTTATTTTTGTTCTTTCTTCTTCAAAAACACACACGTTTCAGTTTCAGAGGACAGCATTTACGATAGTGAAAGTAAAATGAACAACAGTTGAAAGGATTGCCACTGGCAGACACAGGTTAAGGACTTAATTATCACTAGCCTAAACTTTTCATTCAGCAAGTGTTTATTGTGATACAAGTGTATACATGCCAGGAGCTGTGCCCTCAGATAAAGATTTGAATAATAATGGAGGGTTTTTTAAAAAATTTTTATTTTATTATGTTACGTTAGTCACCATACGATACATCATTAGTTTTTGATGTGGTGATCCACGATTCATTGTTTTCGTATAACACCTAGTGCTCCATGCAGTACATGCCCTCAATAATGGAGGGTTTTTTTTTTTTAAAAGCTACTATTTATTGAACACATAGGTTAATAGGGCTTCACAAGCATTCTTTCTCTTAATCCTTACACTCTTCAAGTCAATTCAATTTAGCTTATATTTTAGTTTCTAATATGTGCCAAATGAACAAAATGATCATAATCCCTGCCCTAATAAAGTCTTTGGTCTAATGGAACTGATAGACAAATGATCAGACAATTGCAATTCTGTATGACAACAGCTATGATAGAAATTGGGTGTGCTTAGAAGATGTTAGAGGTCTTCTCACCCTCCTAGGAGGTTAGAGAAGGCTTCCTAGAGGAAATGAAGTCTAAATTGAAACCTAAACCACCTAAAGGATAAGTAGAAGGTAGCAAGGGTTGATGAAGAGAAGAAAGGCAGTATTCAATACGAAGGAATCCATGTAAAAAAATGCACAAGGTCTCTATGAAGTTGTTGTCCTCATTTTATAGATGAGAAAATTGAAGCAGAGAGGTTAAGTGACTTGCTCGAAATCATAGAGGGTGAACCAGAATTCAAGACTTGTTTTCACCTCCTTTCTTACCCAGCTTCCATTCTATCATCCTTCCAAAAGCCTTTTGCAAATACTTTCAATAGCTTTTCCCCAGTGCCCTTGGACCGTGCCTACCCAATAAAACACCTGCTCTGGAGCCATTGAAGATAGTTCGAGAAAATCACCCAACAGGTTGGACTATAACCAGTTTTCTGATACATCTCAACTTGTTGGAGTATAAACATGAAGTTATTTTATTTTTAATTATCACTTTTTTAGACCGTGCTGTGTTAAATACCACTATCCCTTATCACCTTAGACAAATTTTAGACTGCATAACTTTTTAGTAATTTTTTAGATATTAAAACTAGTCAGTATGGTTTAAAACTGAGATCTCTTAACTAATTCGTAGTTGTCTCTGTATTTGGAGAGGGTTGGAATGGACAGGGGGCACGATCCACTTTTTACACAAACTTTGAAAGAAGGATTCTCAGCTTTTCAAGGATTGCTGGATAAGGGGTATGAACTGACACAGGTGTCAGGGAAACTTAAACCCCATAATGGTCTTCCAGTTAGAGTGGGGACATATGGAGGCCAGATAAAAATTAGGGTTCTAGCCCAAGTATGTTTCAGAAGGGTACAATGGATCTGTGGCCTTTTCTGTGATTGTATCCCCACTCCCCAAATGAATAACTGAGATATGTAAAATACCCAAGTATACTTTATAACTGGAAAAACTCAAACTCTTGTGTTGGTTCCCTGATCTGTGTAGCCATTATGGTACAAAGAATCAAGTGGAAGCCCCTGAAAATATCCCACCCCCATCCAAGTGAGCAAATAAAAAACCATACCTCTTCCTGGGAGGAATGGCAGGGATTAGCACCACCACTTAAAGACGTAAAGGATGCAGGAGTAGTAAACCCTGCATTTCCCTCTTCAATCTTTTTGGCTCCTATAAAAAATAGATCTTGGATGACAGTGGACTACGGTAAACTTAAGCAAGTACCAACCCCAATTTCAGCTGTCATGCCCGATATATTTGCTTAACTGGAAGAGATCAACACAGTTCACAGCACTTGGTATGCCATTATTTATCTGGCAAATATGGTCTTTTACATTCTCTTCAGAAAAAGCATGAAAGCAGTTGGCATGCACCTGGGTAGGACAATAGTTCACATGCACTTTTTCCCCCCTGCCTGAACTAACTCTCCTGTACTCTATCAGAATGTAATCTGGAGGAAATTTGTCTTGACATTTCACAGAATATCATGATGGTTTATTATATTGATGGCATCATACTAATTGTATTTGTGAGCAGGAAGTGAAAATTATTCTAGGTTATCTTACCTAGGCACATCCAAACCAGAGAGTAGAAGATAATCCTCACAAAACTTTATGGTACTGCCATATTGGTCCCAAACCTACTGTTTGGGACATGCTGGGACCAAAAAGATGAAGATAAAGAACAAATTGATACATATCAGAACCTATCATTAAGAAAGAGGCATTGTGGGGTGCCTGGGTGGGTCAGTCGGCTAAGGGTCTGCCTTCAGCTCAGGTCATGATCCCAGGGCCCTGGGATTGAGCCCTGCATCAGGCTCCCTACTCAGAAGGGAGCCTGCTTCTCCCTCTCCCTCTGCCCCTCTCCCCTGCTCATGCTCTCTCTATCTCTGTCTCTCTCTCAAATAAATAAATAAAATCTTAAAAAAAAAACAAAACAAAACAAACAGAGACAAGGAAATCTGGATAGAGAGGCATGTAGATAGATCTATGGGAAGAGTGGGTACATAGCATGCAGATCATTGTGTCTCATGCTAATGCCCACCAAAGAGCATTCTCTGAGTGGAAAGCAGCAACCAAATAGGTTAGTTTGCCCTGTGGATATGAGCTACACTCTCTCTTAATCTTTAGACACCTCCCTGTTTGAACAATTTGTCCATGAACAGACATTACCCCATGGTTGGGAAGAAGGCTATTTATGGACACAACAGAATGGGCTCCCTCTCCTAATACTGATCTAGCTACTGCCACTTTCTAAATGCCCAACTTGTCAGCAATAGAGACTAATACTGAGTCTTTGATATGATATCATCCTTCAAGGACACCAGCCAGTCATTTAATATCAGAGTAACTTTATTGGATCCCTTCCACCTGGGGAAATGGCAACAATTCATCCTTGCTGGAATTTAAACCTAGCAGGGTAATGAATTTGCATTCTCTGCCAGTAAAGCCTCCACGAACTCAGGGCTTACAGAATGCCTTATTCATTGGCATGGCATTCCCCATACATTACTTTTTTTTTAAAAAAAAAGATTTTATTTATTTGACAGAGAGAGACACAGCGAGAAGGGAACACAAGCAGGAGGAGTGGGAGAGGGAGAGAAAGAGGCTTCCAGCTGAGCAGGGAGCGCAATGCGGGGCTCGATCCCAGGACCCTGGGATCCTGACCTGAGCCGAAGGCAGATGCTTAATGACTGAGCCACCCAGGCGCCTCACCCCCCATACATTACTTTTGTTCAAGGGATTAATTTTTGACAAAAGTAGTGAAACAATGGTGCCTTACTGCATATCTCATCACCCAAAGGCGGATGACTTAATGCAATGGTGGAATAGCATGTTGAAGGCTCAGCTAAAGTTCTAGACTGGAGAAAGGATAAGATATAGGTGCTGTATCAATGGCTGACCTATGGTGCTGTGTTCTTTCAGGAACCGAGGGATGGAAGTACAATTGATCTCTTTCAACATTAGTCCTAGTGACCCATTTTCAAAGTTTATTCCTTGTGGATAAGAGGTCCTGGTTTCCAAAAAGGAGAACACTTTTACAGAAGAAAAAGTAAAGGATTTCCACAGAACTTGACTATTACCTGGTCATTTGGGGGTCTTAATTCCAGTGACTAGGCTCCTCATTTCTGTATCATCAAGCAAAAGTGAATTAGTGTCAACATATCTACAGGATTAATCTACCCTTATTAGTATAGAGAGCCTGGGTCGCTCTTATTTAATGGAGGCAGGGAGAAATATGCAAAGGCTTGACTGATGCATCTCCCAGTGTTTTTGTGCCAGGTAATAATGGTGAATGGACAGTTACAGCAACTATGCCTGATTAGGGCAAAGTAAACCAAACCTAGAATGAGAAGGTCTGGGTCACTCTACCAGGCAAGGAACTTTAGATCAGCTGAGATGCTGGCCAAAGATAAGAGAAATTTAAAATCAAGTAGTGGAGGAGAGAGATGATGATTATCAACAAGACTTTGGAACCACCTTTGGTAGCAGGGACTGTCACTAGTTCTACAGAACCTCTTGCAGAAATGGTAGCTGGCAAACACCTTGAAAGAGATTTGGTGATGGGCTGGAATTAACAGAGAGAAAGGGTGGATCTGAGTAGTGCAAAGGTTCTACTGCATCAGTTACCACTTTTTCCATCACTTAAAATCCTCTCAGCCCTACATTTTACTGAAGTCACTGTTTCTATGACCAGTTCT